AATGTTTTAAGTTGTCTGGGTGTCCCATCACTAATCAGGGGCATTCTAGTAACTTCCTGTATCATTGTACTACACCATAATATAAATAATAGTACTGTCGACTGAGCAGTGCAGTTCGACATTCCAGCATCTCTTCTTCTTCTTCTTCTCTTTTCTGCTACTTCGTCTACAGTAATTTAGCTTTCAACATACATGAAAAGGAAATATCAAATCAAGATGGTATAACGAAAAACTCATCCATAAAGTTCAGAAGATTTACCGGATATGATGGGTCTTGCACTGCCATTGTTACACTAGAACCAAGTAATATCTGCCACAAAGGAAACCAATGTCAAAATCAATTTCTGAGAAAGGAAGCATCCAAGAGTTTCTCCTAACATGTGCTGGATGTTAAACAAACTACAGTACATGTACATGTAAATCTCAATGGGAACTTGCTCGAAGAAGTAAACCTAAGGCCTTGTTTGGGAAGGCTATTGTTATTCAGCTTAACTTAATCCACTTTTCAAGGCTCAGCCATTTTTCTCAGAACTATGGAAAAGTATAGGGCTGTCAATGGGTCGGGTCTAGGCCAGGACCAGCTAGAACCGGAACCGACCTAACATGAAATATCGAGGACCCGGAACCAAACTGGACCAATAGGATCTGTAATTTTTAGACCCAGAACTGAACCGATTGGTTCTTGGGAAAACCGGGTCTGACCCAACGGACCCGATTATAATAAATATATACATTTAATATATATTAAATATTATATATATTATACATTATATATATAGCTTGGGCCGGGTCTGAATCGGTTCGGGACTGGGTGGAACCGGTTCTGAACTGATAATAATCGGGACACTATATCAGGACCTGGACCCAGCCCATCGGTTCTAGTTCCTGGAACCAGAACTGGCCCAATCCATTCGGGTCCATCAGGTCTGTTGGGTCAGACCCGACCCATTGACAACCCTAGAAAAGTATCATGTTTGATGCATTTTTATAAAGCAGGAAATCTAGCATTCAACATTCCATGAAAAGAAAAAGGAAAAAAGAAAGATCCAACTTTCTGTATTTTTCTTCACCACATGAGGGCTTGTTGGTTTTCCAGATCGGTCACACCTCAGAAATCCCCAAAACCACATGAGAAGGCCCTCCTAAATGAGCACAAGTTTGCCAAATAAAGGACAGTAAGATAAAACAAGACAGAATCCTATTAGATATATGAAAAACCTGAAGACGAGATATGTCACACTTTGCACCATCTGAGACAAATATATCACTTTCTTCAATGCCAAGTTTTCCATAAAATGCTGATGCAATTGCAGCCCTCAGTTGCTGCAAAATTATATAATTTGTGTTATTCCTGGGCTTTAAGAAATATTAGAAAACCACAAATACACCTGTAGGCATGATAAACAGAACTTCTAGGGATATTTTTCTTTGAAAAGTACAAACTTAATCAAATTCTTACCATTTTGCAGAAAAAATTGGGGGGGGGCTGTGGGATGTAAAGATAAATATGGAAGATATATACTACCCAACAAAATTTTATCATTTTCTGCAAAAAAAACAAATTCAGTAGTCTTATAATATGTCTAAATTTGTAACTGACTGTACATGGAATGTGTTTTAACATGAAAATAAATATAAGTAATGAATGGCCAAGAAACTTTTCAGTACCGGAACTTTAAGAAAACAGTTCTTTAATTGAAAGAATTTTAGATTATGTTTCTATGATTTAGTATTCATTGGAATAACTTCAGATCATAATTCTGTGATTTACTACTGAATTACTGGTTATTCTTTAAAAAAATGTAGAATTGATATACCGGCACCACACCGAATCTTGTTGCATGTAACTTTGAAGAATCAGAACATTCATCATGTTCAGCATGAATATATACTAAAAGTACATTCTCAGCTTAAAAAAGCTAATAATTTTTTTTTTGATGAATAACTGATTACTTCATTGAATTTTAAGGAAAGTGTACAAGAGAAAGTGAGAGAGAGACAAGCTCTCTTATCTCTCCCCTTTAACTTTAGTTATAATTACAATTACAGTTGTGCCCAAAATGTTTTTATTCTCCCAACCCCTTGCATGGCCAGTGCATCAGCCATTGAATTAGCTGTTCTTTTCACCCATTGTATTCTCAGTTCCATGTCCTTTGTGATCCATCTGAATTTTTTCTTCTCATTATTATACTTCCACATCCTACTTTCCTCATCCAGTAGCCAAGCCACTACCAGTTTGGAATCCCCTTCAATGATTAGCTTTCTAGCAGTCATGGTTGTAGCCCTTTGCACTCCTTCCGTAACTGCCATTATTTCCGCTCTTAGTGAGTCTCCTTCACCTGCTGGGCCTGAGAATAATGCACACTTTACCCTCCTCATCCCTGATTAAAAAAGCTAATAATTAAAGCATACTATAAACATATTGGGTGATAACCTGATAATTGTACCTGCATACATGGCATAATTTGGAAATTGAAGTCATATTAGATTATAGTTGTCTATCAACACTATCACACCATTGAAGAATTGATTATTTTTTTTATTTTTTTATCCTAACAATTTCCTTTTGTTTTGTGAACTAAATATATATAAGATATAGGGCAAATTTCTTAAACTACCCCTAAGGTTTAGTTGACTAACTATACCCCTACTGTTTCAGTATTGTCTTAAAGTACCCCTACTGTTTCTGACAATTGTCGCACAGCTCCCTTCCCGTGAGGTCTCCGTCACAGACCATTTACATGTGACTTCACGCATTAATTTAATTTTAAATTATACCCAAAATACCCTTTGATAATTACCACACCATCTCAACCATTTGATCCTCCTCCTCCACCAACTCCACATATCCGGCCACCATCACTCCTTGTTCATGGCTTCCACCGCTTTCCTGAAACTAGAGCTTGAAAGTAGCCGCTCCAAAGAAATTGAAGACAGCACACTTGTACATTCTCTTTGTAGTCCCTTTCTTCACGTATATCACATGTCTTCTCTACCCATTATCCGGTGCTAATGCCACCGCCTCCTGCACTGTCTTGTAGTTTCCGTTGCTGTCTTTCACCACCACAACATTGGCTTTGATGTCCTTAGGCAAGGAACTACAAAAAAGTACAGAACAAATTAAAGTGTAAGACAACTGCAGAGCAACAAAAAAGTACAGAAGGTCCCAACTCTCGACATTTGTCCCGCTTTTCAGACAACGGGAGTCAGACACAGACAGCTCTCGATAGATCCATTGTTGGAGCCTGGGCTATTTGTCCCAAGGTGATATCGATAATGTCTCTGTTAGAACGGAAGATTGAAGCTGATACAGCTGTAGCTTTTTGTGAGAGAAAGTCTTCCAAGCGATAATTCAATTGTATGGTGGTAGCCTTCAATCATCGGAGACGGAGCAACACACCCCATGAGAAATGCAGACGGATACTCCATGACCATGGAGCATGGTGGGTAGTGATGGACGTAAAACCCATACACGAACATGAGAAGAGAGAGAGAGAGAGAGAGAGAAGGGGGGGCACAGTTCTTTTTTTTTTTTTTTTTTTGAAAACTGTAAAGTGATTCATTGAAAATCAACTAAAGAACCCCCTGTAAAAAGAGAAATGAATAGAGGATATACAAAAAACCAAAAACAGCCCCATACAGCCTCAATCCCCCAAACAAAAAACTACTCACTCCTTACAAACAAAAAATTAAACTAAAAAAAAAGCACTTGGATGTCTGCCTTTAAACAACAGGTGTACAGTCAGCCATGAGAGAATCATCCCCATAATTTTCCTCAAAACATCTTCTTTTGAGTTTTGAATTCCTTCAAATAATCTGTTATTTCTCACTCCACACAGCCCACAGAACAGCTGCGGGAATAATGCTCCAAGCCACCTTTCCAGCTTTACTCAGACCACTCAGCCACCGAGCCTCTATGAGTCCTGTAACATCCGCCAGCAAAAATAGCTTAGCACCAAAAAATTCTACCACTCTTAACCACATCCAGTGAGTAAAATTGCAGTAGCAGATGACTAGATGATTCCATGTTCCCAATACATAGGGGACATGCCATGTTTACCACTTCTAATCCTCTTTTGACTAATTGTCTTTGGTTAGAATCTTATCCAGCACTGCTGACCAGACAAAAAAGGCTACCTTTGAAAGCACGGTTCTAACCCATATTCTTTTACTTGGGAAAGAGATAGCTTCCTCCTTTGAAACTGCTTTAAAAAACGAGTTTACAGAGAACACACCTGATTTCTCAAAGCTCCACTCTTTTGTCTTCCCCTATTCCAGATATGTTCAAGTCATACAGAAGCTGGAGCAATCTGATTAGGGATGCCACCTCCCAATAATTTAAATTTCTCCTGAACTGAGGGTTCCAAGAGCAATGACCATTCTTCCTTTCCAAACATTCAGCAACAGTTGCATTTTTGTTTGTGGTGATTTCAAACAGGTCCGGAAAAACATTCTTCAAGGCGCCCTCTTCACACCAGTTATCCTTCCAAAAGAGAACCCTCCTACCATTTCCCACTTTGTATTTTATTCCCCTAATAAACTGGGGCTGGATTTTTTGTATGGCCTTCCAGATTGAGCATCCATAGGGAGAGCTTATCTCCTCTGTTTCCCAATCCCGGCTACTTAGCCCATATTTGGCTACTATCAGCCTTCTCCATAGACTTTCTGTCTGTTCATTAAACCTCCACAGCCATTTACCAAGAAGATCTGTGTTTACCTCTCTTACTGATCTGATCCCTTGGCCCCCATTTGTCTTGAAACAACATATTTTCTTCCAATTCACCAAGTGGCATTTTGATTCCTCCCTCCAACCCCTACACAAAAAATCCCTCATCTTTTTTTCTAGCACGGCAGCCCATTTGGCCGGAATAGGGAATAAGGATAAGTAGAAAACTGGGAGGGAGGCCAGCACACTTTTAATTAAGGTTACTTCGCTGCCCTTGGATAAATATTTTGTCTTCCAAGAGGCTAATTTCTTGTCTACCTTCTCCAAGATAGGTTCCCAAATAGATTTGGATTTACAGTTCTAAATTGGAATGGAGATTGGTGTGGGATGATCACGCTCTTCTCTGTTTTTATCGGCCGTCATCAATCACTGCATTTGATCTCATTTTGGTCCTGTAACGAATCACTTTCTACTCTTTGGCTGATTGGATTCAGTTGATGGCTGTCTATGATTTACATTATTTATAGCCTGACAACAAGGAGGTGACCAGCTTGAGATTAAAACAAATCAAAGAACATTGTCGAGAGCCGAGATCTTCTCTTTTGCCACTTTAATTTATGCTGTCTTTTTGTAGTTTCCTCCCTAATGTCTTCTTTTTCAACACCGTAAGCTCCCGGAGATCAGTCTCCAACAGAGCTCTACTCATCTTCTCCATGGAATCGTCGCCAGGGGACACAGAAGCCGACAAAGCCGTCAACAGGATCGGTCAGGTTCTTTTTCAACACCGCAGCCTCCACCTATAACGTCGCAATTTTACAACTTAGAGGGTGATCGGCGAGGCTCAACTGCTCAACAGCGTTACAGCTTTGAAACAGCTATGGCAGTCCATCATTTCCAACACCTTCTGAAGGTTCCCAGTCGCAAGAGACAAGTTTTGTTCGAATTGGTTCATCGTCTCCAACATCTTCAGACGAGTTTTATTTGAAGTTCTTACTTTCAATAAGGTTTCAAAAGTTTCATTTTGAAAATTTAAAGAAGAATGATGGGAAAAGTAGTTTTTTTAATCCTTCTGTTAACAGACACTGATGGTAAGGAAGATATAGTCAATTGTCAAAAACAGTAGGGGTACTTTAAGACAATACTGAAACAGTAGGGGTATAATTAGTCAAATTCCTAAACCTAAGGGGTAGTTTAAGAAATTTTCCCTAAGATATATAGTACCAAACCTTGTTGAATGAAATCTTGCAAGTATCAGACAACCATATTCAGCATGAGTTACACACTAAAAGTAGATTCATAGCTTATAACATGATATCAACATATTTGGCTGATACTTGTATAATGTATCATGTACACATCACAATGTCAAAAATTGAAGAGTCATATCCTTCTCAGAGAATACCATTGCCTGTATTCAGATCCTGAGTAGGCATCTTAAGTGATGTCTATGGAATTATTGCATCTGAGAAATATACAGTGGATCCCGGTACAGAAAAAAAACCAATAAAATCAGAGGTATCTTTGAATCAATATATGAAACAAGCAATTCTGAATAAAAGTTAATACATACTTTATCACCTTGTCCATCTCCATAACCACTGTAACCCTCTAATGTTGATAATGCATGTGATCTCTACAAATATCAAATAAGATAAATATTAGATACAGGCAGTATTAGTCAATTAGTCCCACGTTGGATACTTGGTGGGAGTGTGTCCTGATACATGATTGATGGGATTTTACATATAAAGTATGCTCAGATGCATAAGCAGTCAAACATGCAGTTCAGGTTATTGAGAAAAGTGGGAAATTGAGAAAAGTGCAATCTACGATGATCTTTTTGTGCATGCAGTTCAGGTTATTTATGGTTTGATTGATGTCAAATGGCTGGAGAGAAACCTGATCCTTGAAATAACCTACTGATCCAAAAAAAAAAAAGCCTTTCTCAAAAGAAATGCAAAAGATGAAGAAAAGAAATGAAATGTACATGACCTTATATAACATTTTGCTAAAATGACAAATAAAGGTGATTTACGAATAGATAGGAAAAGTAGGAGCATGTATAAAAGGTCAACCATGTTACTGCTCTCAATGAATTGGCTATCTCAATAGTTGTTGCTACATTCAAAAGATCTTAGTTGTTAAGAATTTATACTAAAAACCTGCCACATAATGAATCTATTTTCTATTATCTTCCTTTTAAGAACAAGAATACCTGTGCCATGGCAGATGTTATAACTTCTGGAATGGGCTCAGTTGTATCACCAATTCCAAGGCTTATCACTTGTGCATCAGGGTATTTCATCATGTGTGCTGCCTTTCTTCTGGCAATCTAATTTCAGGGAAAAGTTCAGGATCAACTAATAAATTTCCAATTATCACAGAGTCTAAACAAAACTAGCACATGGATAGGCAGAGATAAAAACAGAATGAGAAGAGTAAAAGCATAAATAGACGAGATAGCCAAAATTAGAGATGCTGTGGGGGAGAGACACCTCCTCCTTTCATTATTTTTTTGGATAAATTTCATGTTTGATTGTGATTCTCAATGACTTATGCCAGTTCATTTTTTTTTGGTGCATTCCTCGATTACAAGCATTTACTATTAGCTGATGAAAACAGAATGCTCCTTGATTCCTATTTATTGATGTAAAGAGTAGAGTTCGTTTGGTTTTTTGTTTTCCTTCATTTTGTATAGATGCTTCTTACGTTTACATGTATATTTCGTGATTTTAGGTATTGTTGTTTATGTTAATACCAGCTTTTTATATTTTTTTCCTATTTTCCCCCATTCTATTTTTTTAATCCATCCTGTTTTCCTCTGTTTACTATTTTATTTGTCTTGATTTCACATATTTATTCTCTAGTTTTCGAATGAAGTAAACTTTATTGTCTATAAATATTGTTTTAGTTCCTACCAGACTAGAACAAACTTTTCAAAAGTTCTGCCAGAATTTTAATACTGCACCTACATAGTCCATATCTTTTGTTATAGTGGAAGTAAAAATAAACCATAGTAATAATTTTCAGGCATACATCAGAATCACCACCAAACAAACCAAAAAAAAGGTAATGCCATAAGTTATATAAGAAAATATTTCACATGATACATTTTTTCCTCTTTTTCGTTTTTGGGAACCCGAATGCATCTTACATCAAATACAATGGATTCCTCTTATCTACAGGCTGACCATATCATCATGAAACAGTAAATGATTTTACAATTTCAAATAAACTAATACCCCACTTGCACAAAGCTCTACTAACCCATATCAAAGTCATAAGATTTGGTTATAACTGAATAAAAGCACTTGACAAAGTAGAGGTGGTGATTGATTGGACGAAGAGAGGTCCATCCACCATATCAGAGAGGAACATACTGACATCCAGGCCAAACAGCTTTTCCATTGGGTAATGCCATAGCTGATGGTTTGGGCAATGGTGAGATGATAGTATACAAGTCCTTACACAGGATCCTTTATCCTGGTAGTTTTGTTTATAATCTGATTGTAACTGTATTATTGAATGTCTTTTTTATATGTGTTATTTTCTCATGGGGCTCTCTATATTATCTCTTGTTTGGTTTTGAAATACACTATCTTATTTATTGATAGAAATAAATAAATGTTTTTTTTATAATGGCAAGCTTCTACCAATCTCACTGGTTTTCCCAACAATAGAGTGGAAAAATTTAAAAAAAAAAAAAAAAGAAAGAGTTTCATTGTTTGAGTCTAATGAATTGAGTTTCATTGTTATTCATTTAAAAAAAAGAGTTTCACCATGCCTTCTTTAGAATCATCTTGTTCTTTGTGTCCATTCTCATAGATATTATCAATCAGGTTAAATGAACTCAAGCAGTTTGATAATTGGTATATATATGTTACCTTTTCATTAGAAAATCTTACAAATCCAAATAAGCAATTAGGTAAAATGCAGCATTTTAATTTTGAAAAATGACTAAGTAGCATTTTTGTTGCTACCAAAATGTCTTACAACGAAAAACAAGAAGAAAGAAAGAAAAAGAAAATATCAACTAGCAGTGCAGCAATACTAATTGAAAGTACAAATTTCTAACCTCTGGAAATAAATAACCAGCTTGAAGTTTTGCCATGTTTGCATTGCGAGAGACCTTTGTTTTGTAAACTTTACATCACATGAATGACAATGTTAGTTCAGTAGATGGTCAGATAACTAAAGAGATCTCCATAAATGAGACTAAGAAACATCTGTGAAATAGGAAAGGTTTTTGAATCTCCTTGGGTTACTGCACTCTACCTGTTTGGATGTGTATACATTAAACATCAAACAAAAAATAAATATTTATGCATACAGTTCTTTTACTTACATAGTCTTTAATATAAATTTGCTTGTGTAGCAGGGATAATAGAACCCTAATAAATGTCTAAGAGAAATTGCAATGTCTAATTTGATGGCACTACACCATTCAATATCAGAATGCCAAAACCATGCCATAGAATTGCCTTACAAATTTGCATTGTCACTGCCACATACATGAACACTTTAGCAGGGCACTAAAACTTCTCATCAAGTTGGCAATTTCTATGATGCTGGAGGTTTGTGATACCCAAGGAACTTTGACCAAGCAGAACTCCCGTGAATTTTGATGAATACCAGTTGATCAATTACCACTTTTATGTTACTGGTTGATTGGTTACCAATTTTTTTAGAATCATGCATTTTCTGTATCATAGTCAGGCTACACCAAGCTATATAATCAATTCAATATCTCAAATTCTTGTAAATAAATCAATGGATAAATTGCAGATTAGAACCCTGTACTTTGGAGCTAGTCTAACTTTAGTACCCGAACTTCAAAATGTGCCATTGTAGCACTTGAACTCTCAAAAACTATCAGTTTAGTCCAAAATCCTTAACCATACCCTTCGAGTTTTGAATTGGCGAGAGAAACATTTTGAAATGGCCAAAATAGCCATGTTTAAGTCCCTTTTTTATGGAAATGTTTAAATCTCTTTTCACTGCAATTGAGTACCACTGTTCACTTTATGCCCTAAACTTTCAGCTGAAGAATCAGTAATTCCTGTTGGAGAAGCTTCATGGAAAAACGTCGCCGGAGAAGAAGACATCATTATTGGGTAAGAGGGATTTAAACCACCATCGTTATAATCCTTTTTTCAGGCGGTTGTTATAATCCTTTTTTCGCCACTTGATACAGATAACAGACGTACAACTAACTGTGGATACTTTTTACCCTTAATATCAATAAAAAATAACCCTATTAATATAATTTCTAAAACACGGTAACTTTTTTTGAAAAATATCAAATAAGGGCACCCGCACTGTTCACCTCCTTCCTCTTCTGGAAGTACCGAACAGCGGGACAAACCTCCCCCACCTCCAGTCTCAGATCTTGCCACCAAGTTCTGAATAAGCTAAACGAATGTAAAGGTTCACTCCGCCAGTAGATAATTTCTGCAAATTGATCAAATTTTTGCTCCAAGACATACACCTTATGTTGTCATCAAAAGTGTAAGCTATACAAGAATAGTTGTTTAAACACTACTCTTTACACTGCTTCTCATGATCATTGGCATACCAAGAATCCATCTGCTTTCTCTTTTTCACTGTTGCTGCTATTTCTCTCACATTGTAATTGAGTCCTCCTCTCACACCTACTGGACCAATTTCCCATACTCCACTCCTCCGTAGATTTGGGTATGAATCCATTCAAACAACTACAAATTGGTGAATCTACTACACTACAACTTCCAAACATCACACCTTTGCACTTACCATAAACATCACACTTCTACACTTGCAGTAAACATCACACTCTGTATTTGGGGCAGACCACTGAATAAACCAATCATTTTTGGTTTTATTTCAATGATATTCTACCATTGAGAATTTGCATCTAAATTGAATCCATCGAGGTATACAGAGTGCATATCCGGCACCCCTATAAAGACAAACCACTTTCTCTCTCTCTCTCTCTCTCTCACTACACCACCCTCCTCTCTGCCACACAATCTATGGGTTTAAAGAGGGGATTGTATTGCAGTGCCCTTATTTGATATATTTTCATAAAAGTTATCCTACTTTAGTTATTATATTAAAAGTATTATTTTAATATAATAACTGCTAGAACCCCTACTTTAATTGACAGTTTTGGGGAGGGAAAATTCTCGATTAGTACCCTGTACTTTGGGCCTAGTGCCACTTTGATCCCCGAACTTTAAAATGCGATAATTCAGTATCCAAAGTTTCAAAACATGACAATCCAGTACCTGCTGTTAACCAGCCGTTAAGTGGCATTTGAAAAAGACACAAATGACCTTCGAGTGTCATCTAATTTTCTTTATCAACCATCCAAACATTTACAAAAAATTAATAGTGTCAAATCCTTGCCTCTTCTATTCAAGAAAGTTGGGGTCACCAAAATGCCCACTCAAACATGACCCCAACTTTTTTGAATGGAAAAGGCAAAGATTTGGGACTGTTAATTTTTTGTCAATGTTTAGATGGTTGACAAAGAAAATTAAATAACACTTGAAGGGCATTTGTGTCTTTCAAATGCCACTTAACGGTAGGTACTGGATTGTCATGTTTTAAAAGTTTGGGTACTGAATTATCGCATTTTAAAGTTCAGGGACCAAAGTGACACTAGGCCCAAAGTACATAGGAACTTTCCCTTTTTGAGAACTCATATTTACCGAACATCTCGGTACTTTTTTGGGGGAGATGTTTACAATACACGAATGCAATTATTGTGAGGACGGAGTGAGGACAAAATCCTGACATTTTGAAGTTTGGAAAATAAAGTGAGACTAGCCCCAAAGTACAGGGTCATAATCTGCAATTTACCCTACACCAATTAATCAGAATTTCAACTTTTAATTTTTGATGCAAATGAATCCATAGAAATTAAAGGGAAAAAGTTGAAACAATACCAGTTGTGTCCGATGGGGGTGTGGCCATACATTTGAATATCTCATTCTTTTTTGCTGATGCTGGAACCGAAACCTTTGAAATCCTGCATTTTCACAACACTAAAACTTAAACCCTCCTAATCTTCTAAGCTCCGCAGAGACCTGAAATTGAAATTTAGCTCGCTATAGACACATACAGCTACAAAAATTAAGGAACGTTTTTGTTATCGAAATTAGAAAAGAAACCTGGAATTATTGGTGCTTTGGCCCAAAAAAGCCGATGAAGTCGAAGAAATAGAAGCAGAAGGCTGCATCAACGACATTTTCTATAAGAATGCAGCTCGATACCTATCCATCACGATTCACAATAACTATTTTGGTTACTGAACTGAATTCAAGAAACAAAAAAAAAAGGATGAATTACAGAATTATAGGATTTAAAAGGATTCTGAGAAGACCTTTTGAAGCTCGAAGATCAAACGAACCCAGCCACCCCCTGCGCAAAGATCCCAGGACCCCATTAATGGAGAAGAAGAAAGCGAAAAAGTACGAGAGGCCCAATTTATATTTTTGAATTCTATTGCAAAACTAAAAACATTCAAAATGTCAAAACCCCTTGATAGAGGATGATTTGACCCGACCTACTGAGATGATGACACATGGACTTGACTTAGCACGAGCAACAGCTCAGCAGCGTGGCTTGACCGCGACCAAGTAATGAGTCTGTAGAACAGCTCGCTACGTCATAGCTATAGGGGGAGTTCGCCACAACGCAAGCTCCAGGTCCTCCGAGCTACTGAGAAGGGAATACTACAAAATTATTTCAGCTCGCGAGCTAGGGAAACTAGCTCGCTCCAACACTTTGGCATAAGAACTGTCCCAAAGACCAATCTTGATAAGGGTCACCCCGAAGTACCCCTAAGAACTTGCTACAAAGTAGCTCGCTACGAAGTAACTTGCGACGCTCTTAGGAAGCTTCCATCTAACAAGACCGTACTCGTCAGACTGCGCCACGTCCCTCAACTGACGGCGCAGCCCCTGCCCGATTGACAGTCTGCCCCACGTCTCTCAACAGATGGTGGCGTGCCTATCCCTTCGAAGACGTGTCACTCAACTAAGCGGGTAGTACATTATAACGATCACCTGCGCAGCCCTAGCAGGTAACGACTGCGACAGGAGCCCAATGGCGATTACGCTTGATTTGACAAGAGCGCCCCTATAAAGCCCTTTAAGCGGAGAGACGAACTCTCTTGAATTAGATTTGAACTTGCACTCTTACTTGCTCACGAGCTAATATCGAGATATAGTGATATAACGCAATCTACACTCTTAGCCTTTTATACTCTCTTTCATTCCTTCCCAGCGTTCTAACTTAAACTTCAGAGTATTCCCGTCGGGCAAGTCTTCGAGAATCCTTCTTCTTAATATTCTCATGTGCCATTCGTTGCCAACAAGAAACCAATCAGCAGCCAGTTAGGAGTGCTCGGATTGTGCTGCATCACCCCCCATTCTATACACCAATGCCCGCCCTAAAAAATTGACACCAATTCCGAACTAACAAGTGCTCCAGCCGTATTTTGATCCAAGGCTGAACCGTCATTCTCCCAAGAAGAAAGTCCGTGGTAAACAAGCCGTGCACGTTCTGTTACACGCGTGCCTTGGCCTTCGCATCTTGTTACGTGTCGCTATGTCCATGTTAGCAGGTTATCTGAACTCCTAAGGACAAGCATTTGATATTTTTTGGCATAACTGAAGATACAATTTTGCTTTCGAAGTTCCAACGAATTCGGTGCCAAGGAAACGATGTCGACGGAACGGTGGCCGGTCTCCGGTCAAAGCAAACATGAGGGATCTCCCCTCATAAGACCAATAAGCCGGATAAAGAGGCGGAGACTAGCTTCCCTAGAATCCGAAGCCCATGTTCATTGCCTCTCTTTGCATCAAATTTCGAGTAGAGATGAATATCTCCCAAGTCCCAGTGGCAGAAACGTGAAGCTCTCGTCTGTAAGGCAGGTTAGGAATAGAAAAAGGAGGTCCAGTAGGAGCAAGAAACGAACCAAAGACGGTTATCGCAAATGGGTTTTCTCTTCCCACGATTGCTCACGTTATAAAGGTACTCTTCTTGGCCGTTCTCTAAAAAAGTTCGTTGTAAATAGTTTCGGCATTAATTGGAATGACCCATCACGAAATAGTTGGGAATAATGTCTAATTCCTTCGCTGGAGCTCAAATCAGTGAAGATATAATGTTGCATTATTGCTTTTAGATATCAAAAAGTGCTTCTTCTTTGCACATTCGAAGTTTTTAAAAACCCCAAATTATATTGCGGAGAGAATGCACTGTAAATTTACAACTTAAAGTTTGTAAATTCTAAATTGGTAAAATTTGCGTTGTTATTTGAATTCCCTCAGTAAAAGATAGATGATGAAACTATCTTCATGTTTACATCGATTCTCAAACTACTTATCTGTTTAACGAAACAATATATACGTAATTAATTTTTCACGATGCTATCTTACCAAGACGATGGCATTATCAGTTGAGTATAATTCAGACATTTGTTACCACTTTGGACACTCTTCCACTCGAGTTTCAATGGGACCATTTGTGTTTCATTGAGCCAACTAGGCTTTACTTGCATTGATCATCGTTGGATTTGAGAATAATTTGCTCAACTAGGCTTAACTAAAAGAAGATATGCATAGTTCACGCCCACACGCCACTCATTATTCATTCATGCCTCATGAGCACGGCATACTTCTTATTTCTGTTTTCTGGGTGCCTCCTCTAAACCTCGCTTGAGGTTGGCCTTAAACACTTTTGGAAATGTTGTTCCTGTGTCAATTGTTTACTTTTATGGGAAGTTGTAGCACAGAATGCCCAATATTCCATGTGAAAACATGATAGTCATGTCTATCCCGAGAATTTTTATTATATTAATCTGATTAATCTGAAAATGCAGCTAAACTGATATATTCCATCTAGCTTTTCATTGTGATTTTTTTTGGCTGCTTGGTTTGTTTGACCAACTCATTTTTTTTTTTTTTATGAATTTTGATCAACTCAGTTTTAAATATTATGTTGGAAAGCTTGTATTGCCTCTACCTTAGGAGTATATTATATGGGGGTACAATCTATGTGTGTAGGCGTGCAGCCTTTTTCATTGTTCAGTTTTTTATTTATTTAAGTTGACCTCAATTGCCATAAAATGTGTTAAGGGTTTTGGGAAAGGCTCATGGAGATTATTGCAGAAGTTGAATGAGATAAGATTTATTTTTGGGGTCTTTGGGGTCTTGTGTGGCTGTTTCCCAGAAATTTAAATGCTATTGCTGACAAATTAGCAAGGTTGAAGGTCAAAAGACTAAGGATATGAAAAAGGGTCCTCATTGCCAAAGTTTGTCCTTGGGTGTATAGCATTTGATGGACTCTAGGTATTCATCTGGTGTCCATCATGGATATTTTTCTTGCATCTTCTTCTTTTTACAATTACTATTTATATCTTCATTATTACCTCTCATAAAAAGGTCTATCTCTCCCCTCTAATCAAATTGAATCTTTCTCCATTTTGCAGATAAAGTTGTTGTTGTTTCATATAATATTTTAGGTGTTGAGAATGTGTTGAAGCATCCTGACTTATATCCTCAAGTCCCACCCCAATTTTTAAACTGGGAGTGGCGGAAGAAGCTTATAAGGAAAGAGCTTAATCATTACATGCCCAGCATTGTATGTCTCCAGGCAAGTATAAGGGTCTTCTGCTACAGAGGTGCACATATTTGCTAATACATCAGTTAGGCATCGAAAGAAGTCTGGGTTGGTTCTGTATTTGGTCATCTATGATCAATGACAGAGAAATTTTCAGTCTGTTGTTCTGGAGGGTTATACAGTTCTAGGCTTCTAGTAATCAAATCACAAGACTGTGGATGTTGTTAAGTTGTGAACCTTGCCTATATTTTTTGTAGTTTCCCTTTCTGCAGTATCACCACCTTGGTTTACATGGCACAGGTGCCAAGTGTTCAGGTCTCCTCAAGTATCTTCAGTATCACCTTGATCTAAGTGCTAATAATTTAACAATGGATATGACATTAAACAGAATGAAATGTCAAAACAGGATTCATGTTGCCGACCCCATATAGTTGGGATAAGGCTTGGATGATGATGATGATGAAATAAGTAACTAGTAAAATAAGAAACTTAACATGTAAAACAGTAAAAAAGGAAAATTAAATAATTTGTAAAATCTATATATTAGTTCCTTGCTGTAGTGTATTTTATAATTTGTCCAAGAGTGCTGAGTGCTGAATGCCAATACATGGTAACAATGTCTATCTGAGATCCTTCTGAAATGGTCACCATCCCCTCTGATTTTTTTATATTATTATCTAGTTATTCCCCCTCCTAAAAGTTCATCACTTCAGGTGACAAAAACATCAAATCACATTTTAAAGGCAATTCTGTGCTTGCTTTGGTCATTGACTAAATAAAGTCTATCATTACAATTTAAAGCATGAAACTAAGGATAAAAGAGTAGTTAAAAATTCTATCATGTGACATTTGTTTGTTTCAGTACCTTAAAACTAAAAGTGACCAATTTTTGATAGAGACTAAACACCCTTTGTTGTGGTGGTGGGAAGTTATATACTAGATATTTATTTATCAAAAAAAAAAGTATTAAATGTTGAAATAAGGCATGGATGATGATGGTGAAAAAAGTATTAAATATCAAAGGTGGTTATTAATATCTAAGAAACTACAGGAGAGGTTTTGTCAATTAGTCTTAGGTGAGCTTTCTGAAGCTTAAAATTTTCTTTTCAGTCATCTCTTCTTGCTTTGTTTTTCATTGCTCATCAATCATGAGATATCATCCCATAATTGCCCAAAAGTTTCAAAACAGAGAAATTAATAAAATTATATAGTATTTTTGAATTTGTTTTTTGGTAGCAAGTCCATTTAAGTTGATATCTTTTTTTTTTGAAAAGGTAAAGTATTGTATTAAGTATCAAACAGTATTTTTTGTGAATTTCCTTCTTAAAGGACTTTCTAAATCACTCAGATTTGTTGCTTGTATTGTTTATTATAATTTCATTCTCATTAGCCACTGGTTTATCTGCAGGAAGTTGACCGTTTTAATGATTTATCTGATCTTCTTCAAAAAGATGGTTTCAGGGGTGTTTATAAGGTGTTTATGAAATCTTCTATTTTAAGTACTAGGGATTGGAAGAACTATATTCTTTTCTTTTTCTTTCTTTATTGATGACTGATGAATCACTGAGCACCTTGTCTCTAGGCTCGTACAGGAGAAGCATGTGATGGCTGTGCTTTATTTTGGAAAGAAGAACTGTAAGGATTCTCAATCTATTTGTACATCCATTTTGAGAAACTTTTTAATTTTTCCATTTTAACTGATTTCATTAATCAAGGGAGGGATGTACAAGGCCTTGTCAGAAAAAAACAAAAACCAAAAAGAAAGCTCACTAATAATTTGGCAATGTATGTGCACTATACAAAAAGTTCCTTCCCAACCCAAATTTATCAAGGCTATCAGCCACTTGATTTAACTCTCTAGGATCCATCTAAAATGGCACTGCAAGTAAGAGGCAAGCTCCCTGATTTCTAACAACAGGTGGGAGAGCTTCCACAGGTCAAGGGTCTGCCCAGAAGACCAGTTTATGACATTCCTTGAGTCCCCTTTGACTGCAGTGGAACTTAGCTGCTGTTACTTGGCAATTCTGAGGCCTTCAAGGAGGGCCCTAGTCTCTGCTTCGATTGCATCTGTTTTGACAAACTTGGATTTGGCCAATCTTTTAGAAGAATTGTAGTCTTATTGCAAAGCCAGGTGGAAGGCAACTCATGCCCCCTCTTGTTGGACAGCTATTCAGGTGTGATTTTTCTGGTAATTTTGACAGGTTGTTTTTCCTCAAATGCCTCACCATTAGTTGTCAAACTAGTTTATACAAACAGATGCCCAATTAGGAGAGTCAATGTGTGCTCCCCTTGATGCAAATACAACATGCTCTTCTTTTATGAGTGCATTGATCAGGTTTGTCATTTGGTGCCATGGACTCATTCTGAGAATAAGTAATTTATTCTCATCTATACAGTGATGATCCTTTTTAAAGAATTAGACTGCTATAAAATAGTTGTTAATGTAAGACTGTTGAGCAGCTTTGGTCTATGAACTTCTGAAAGTTGGGTAGGAATGGACTGGTTCTGGTTTAGGGTTTGGAGCTTTGGAATCTGAGTCAGTGAAAAAGGTTGTCAAGAAGGGTGAGCAGGAATATATGAGAAAGGGTATCAAATGTCTTGGAAAAGACCCCCAAAGTCGGCTCAGGTGCCCTATTTATAGGAAAAGGCTACCATGCAACCTGTGTGCATCCTAGGATAGGATTCTAGAATATTCTCTCAGATAATTAAGCCAACTCAACATAAGTAGCTGCGAGTGAAGATGTGAGAGAATCTAGTACTAACTAGTGCAACTCTCCTGATCTCACCACATGTCACCATCCTATATTTTGCTAAAACTATTTCATCATGTGTCAAGAGACAAGGTTTTGTTTCAGTGTACTAACTAGCACACCTCTAGGTGAGGTGCCCCTAAAATGCCCTAGGGCATATGCCAGAGGTGTTGATACCTTGATACCTCTGAGGCGTATGCCTCATGTACCTCATGCACACCTCATACAAAAAGGCAGAAAAGAAAAAAAAAGAAAGGAAAGGAAAGGAAAAGAAAAGAAAGGAAAGGAAAGCTATACGAGTTTTAATATAAAAGTTTTCTATTAAAAATAAATAAAAGTGAAATCCTCCTTCCTCTTCTTTCTCCTCCCCCTCCTCCTTCCCCATCCCCCTCCTCTTAAGGAGGCTTGCTCCTCCTTGTGCTTGGGAGGAGTAGAAATCATTGATTGCAGATTTAGTTGAATTTCTTGTGAAGGGAAAGAGGAGGAAGATGAAGATTTCAGCAATAGAGAAGAAAAGAGGAGGAGAAAAGAGTAGGAAGTCAACTAAGATTCTTAGATAAACCCTAGCCGCCAACCCCTCATTATAATTTAACTTAACTTA